CATACCAATTAAAGCAAGCATTGACTAGCTAGTTTCATGATGTTTATTTGAGGCAATCGTGAGTTAGGTTTGGCATACTTCTTTCAATTACTTGCTCGACTGACTTAGACTATGCTGACGATACCGCATTGCTCGGTGACGACCATCATAAGATGCAACCGATCATTGCTCAATTGGTGATTTAAGCGTCTAATTTTGGTATTGCCCTGCTCCCTACAAGTGCAGAATACTTTTACAGGACTGGCAGGCACTCTACCTCAATAAACTAAAAAGGCACGCAGCTCGAACAAGTAGATAGTTTCATCGACCGAGGGAGCTGCGTAGATGCCGCCGGCACTATAGGAGCAGAGATATCCCTTCGTATCGCTAAAGCCCGGTTAGTGGTTGCTAACCTAAGACGTTTGTGGCGCTGTCGCCTCATGTCACTTTCTCTAAGAGACAGGGTTTACAAAGGCTGTGTACGCGCGACTTGCTGTACGGATGCAAATCCTGGCCGATCTGTGTGGAAGACAAGCGTAGTCCTGTGATCTTTGACAGGGGCTGTTTGCGGATCATTGCCCACGTGTGTTGACACCACGGAGTGTGCAGTGATACTGTTTGACACCGTGAATTGTGTAAGGCAGATATTCTGCTCAATGGTCTCGTTCGACTACGTCAACTGAGAGGGCTTTTACACGTCCTAGCCATGCCTACCATGTGTTTACCAAGCCGTGCCCTGTTTTCTCATGTGTGGTTACTTTGGAAAAGGCCGCGTGGTTTTCAACGGTCCACCTGGCGACAATGCATAAATGGATGATATCTTGCCTATCCATCACTGGCCCCGTAAGACTCCACGGCTGAGACCCAACGATGAAGAATGCCAATGGCTCACAGCGCTGAATGCAATGGCGCAAAACTAATCGCACTGGAAGCGGTAAGCGTAAGTCTGTCTGGACTCACGGTTTAAAAAAATTATTTAAAACCGCAAAATTTACAAAATAACGTGTGTAAAAGTACAAATATTGTTTCTCCATTTTTCGTTCATTAGCAAATTCTTTTACAGGTTTTGCATGTTTTATTATTGTATGTTCCAAATTGCATGTTTGTAAATGGCTTGAAGCACAATTTATTGACTGTTGCTATTCTATATATAAAGTTATATAGTTAGACGTGATAAAAGCGTTTTAAAATAATTGTAAAACGTAGTTCCAGTACGATAGTTGGTTTATTTAAAAAACCGTTGCATCTGAATGTCAGCGAGAGGTGAACCAAATAGAACGTAGCTGAAACGAACTACTTTTTGTTCTGCAGCATATAATTAGATGAAAGCTTTTAATAGTTAAAATACACGCTGACTAATATATTTTTGCCTCATCATTTAGCTAAATTACACGGAGCCTAACAATCTACCGCTAAGATCTGTTGCCATCTTTATAGTAAAAGATAAATTGAATTTCAAGTGTTATGTGATTTAGTCGTTTGAAAGAACAGCAATGCTTGCTCAAAATAAATCCTACCGGTATCATGTCGCTGGCAGTTATCTAACAATATCCTGTCTTTAGAAACGTAGATCACCATACGACGGAACAAAGGCAGCTGTCCTGGAAAAATTCAAACCACACACTGTTTTTATAGGTCTGTCAGCTGTGTCCTAATCTACTAGTAGGAAAAGCTGATCAATTACCACAGTTTCTATGAGTTAGTTACTTGTATCTTAACAGGAGCAGAAAAGTGCACCATCGCAAGTAAAACGTCATGCAACCCCAAGCTGTTTTAAAGTAAAAGTAAAATAAACAGCCGCTTTGACGATAGTATTTACGTATTAATTTGCTAGTTGAATTCAATACTAATCATGTTATACTAAAAATACTGGCAGCGTTTGGAAAAATAATAAATCATCAAAACCAATTTGCAAAATTACTTTGTAAAAGAACCTTCAGCGTTAGACATTATGTCCCAACTCAGTCGCTACCACCGCTCATAACGGTGTTCCACATGGCTTGATTTAAGGCTTGCAATTGTATCGTTTGCATATAAATTACTTGACGTCTTGCTTGACAACCCCAAATATGTCTTTGGTGATGCAGTAAAGTTTGCTGATAGAGGCAGTCGAAACACACTGTCGAGAAACCTTAGCACGGCAGCAAGACGAACGTTCATGTCAGACTTGCCTCTTAATTCCAAAAAATCTCAGCCGTCACACAAAGTAACTAACGGGTTACAGTGCATACTTTGGCAAGTATCCTACTCTTACATTGCGTTGCTGAAGTACGTGATTCGTGAATCGTTGTGATGAATAATTCCAAACCATCAGCATACTGTCAGCATGCCGCCAGCAAGGGGCGGCACGAACTATTCCCTATCAAGAAAACGTTGCGCATTACTAGATCCAGAGTTTTCCTTTTTTCATAAAGCAGTGGAACAATCTCATTTTACCTACCATCTACAGGCCTGAGCGTCAAATCCCAAAAAATATGCTGCTTGCTTAGAAGAGATACATAAGCTGGCAGCTAGGACGACTGAGGGTCAACGACTAAGTAGCCAAATCTTTTGTTCCCGAATAAGCTCAGAGTAAGAAAGTACACAGTAAAAACGCTCAAGCCTGCCGATTTTTAAAGTAGCTGCATCTGACCACTCGTTGAAGCATAAGCTGAAGCTAAGGACTCAGTGGCACCTGTTTAGTTCCTCCGAATTATTCATTAGTTACTGTAATAGTACACAAGTTGTTCTACAAAAACATTGAAAGAAATTTGCAAACCCAAACGATCGTTTTGTTATGCTATTGTATGTAGTCGATTCTTTGCTTACTTTGCCGTAGCTCTACAACCATACTGCCTGTAAGCAAGTTGGGATGAAATCTATGGTTGGAGATTACGGTTTAATCCTTTTTGAATTGTGTAATCTAGGGTTGGAACAAGTTTTCATCTATCTAATAATAACTATTACCGTAGAAACTTTCGTAAAAGATTTGGAGGAGCTCTTGTCGGGTATTTTCGGAACGCGCAAATTTAATAAATATTGGTACCGACGTCGTGGACCGTGACAAGACCTTGTACAAATTTTGCTTCTGTTTTTGCTACAATGCCTTTGGTAAACTATAGTTCACCCCAGAAGTCAAACTGTCAGAAGCCAGAGACTAATTAGCCTCATGCGGACGTGCTGGAAAATACTCAGATCAGAAACAGGATTTGTAAACAAGTGACGGAATACAATCTAATTAGAGCAGAACAGCATGGCCTTCTTAAGATGTAGTCTCGTTACGTTAATTCTTGGTGCTTTTTTATAAGTGATTACTCTATATCTTTATAGTGGAATGCCGATACAGATTAGCTATTTAGACTTAAAGAACGCTTTTGACTTAGTGAAGTGTCGAATTGAAATTTAGAAGCTGGCGTGCTTTGCATCGTTGATTCAAATATTACTATGGTTTTCTGAATTCGTAGCCTGGGCTGAGTAAGCGAGTTCTCGTGTAAGCGTTGTCTGGAGCGGTGTCCCGCAAGGTTTGGTAGTGGGTCCATTATTGTTTCTTATGTTTAAAATACTTGGCTCCTATTCTTTAGGATCCCTGCTATATCTTTGCAGATGACGTGAAGCTAGTCCATCGGGGAAACCAAACAACATTGACTAGGGATATCATCACCGTGGTGAATTGGTCTAGCTAGTGGGATTTACTTCGGAACGCCAATAAATGGCAACTAATAACCAGTAGTGGTAGCAAAATCGCAGTGCAGTCTAACGCGGCATCATTGTCGTTGCAGTGTACTGATGAAACCCGTGGTTTAGGTGTCATCATAGTGAACAGTTTTAAGCATTCGGCACAACGTCGCCATGTTGCCAAGTAAGCGAGAAAAAACTTGTTCCGCCTCAGACGAGTGATGAGTAACATTAAACAAAAGTGTTCCTGCCGTTATATAATGCATTAGTTAGGTCGCATCTGGAGTACCTTCTTCAAGCCTAGGCATCGGATCTCCATAGTGTAGTTACGTGTGTAAAGAAGATTCCGGAACTTTCACAAAGATGGTTAGAATATCAACGAGGGAATTCGTACTACGATAGCCTAAGTAGCTTAGGTTTCTCCTCCTTGTAAGAGCCTACCTTGCGAGGGGATACGATAGAAGTTTAAGAACACTAAGGGACCCAGTGGTATCAAGCCCACCCATATGTTTGAGTTTGATAGGTCGAAGCACCTGCTTGGGCGTGCCCTTAACATCCAACAATATTAGACTCGTCTGAACATTAGGGAGACAACTTTACCAACCAAATAGTTAACCTACGGAATAAACCTTCATCTGATCTAGTGGAGTGTGAGACTAGAAGCTTTCAAAATTGGCTTATTTCATGGTTAGTCAGCGCTTTACCTAAACATATTGTAGTTATACTGGAACATGTAGTGTCTTCTGATGCTGACACCTGAAAGTGCAAAGATTGCTCTTGTTGCTGCTTCATTCTTTCACAGAAGCAAAACGAGTCACTGCAACATCCAGGTTCCGTGCGTTGTTGTTTACTTACCTGCAAACAAAACAGGAAGCTCGTTTGACGAAAGCCTCTAGCGTCCGTGGTACTCGATCTTACCTGACGTGACCTAGATTGCATGCTGGTCCAAGAAACAGGACATTCTTTAAGATAGAGCTTACTTTTCCTTAGAACGTAAGCAGACATGGACGGACCTAATGTTTTAGCGCTAATGTCCCTGTTTAATCCATTGCAGTTACCACAAAACCTTGGTTACGCAAGGACTTCCAGCAGTCGCGACGCGTGTCCTGATAGCAAGTTAACCTCTTCAACTATAGGAAGCTACTCTAGACTACAGAAGTAGTAAGAGATTAGTACGTTTGTGGTATATTCAAACTTATTAAATGCTTAGTTAAAGTAAGTTAGCTTATCCTTAAAACAACCATTTAGTTACGGGAGAAAGCTAATTGGCAGTGTTTTCTCTAGGGGAAGCAAAACGGTTTCACAGAACACAAAAGCATCTGAAAAGAATAGATTTTCTGACAAGTTTGCCACAGACATGTGCATACCCCACGAATTTTCCAGTAGCCAAGGACGGGAGCCATGAAACAATGAAACGTACAGTCATTGCGGATACTAATTTTCAGCTTATATTAATGCACAAATACAAGGTCGAGGATTTGCAAAACTTGGTTTGACCAAACGACACTTCGGTCTATGGGCGATACAGCAAACCTGTTGTATAAAAGCAACCGTCGCTTGTAGATATCTTTCTTGAATGCACTTCTCGTTTATTATTGTACTTTCTCGAAAAATGTACTCAGTTGGACAGCAAGAATCACTTCATGTTTCTTGCATGCTGAAAGCAAGGTACACAGGATATTATAGGTAGCAGGCGTTGCGCCTTTTATCAGGAGGCTACTGCTGTACTCTAAGTTTTGTGGGTCTTTAGGCCCCCCACGAATCAGTCAGGTCAAAGTAGAAACCAGAAACATTTTTGCAATATCAAGAGTCGGAAAATTCATTTTACTAACTTTGGAATTGGACGTAGGGGCATTTCAGTTAACTTTTAATTCAGTTACAATGCTAGGTATCATGCTGCTTATTACGGGTTCCTGTCATCTTAGGTTGTGTCCTCCAGGTGTTAGCCACCGCAACAAAAGATACATGTTCGTCATTTTATTTGCAGCATTGCTAACGCATATATTTTACTCGGACGCCAATGCACTTATCCGTAACTCCTTAGTTTATCATCCGCACATTTATAAAGAATCACTTAGTGGTCACATACACCGAGTTTCGTTGCTGTTTTCATGTACTTACTGTGATACGGTTAGTTACTGCAATCCACTTATACGGATATATGGACTTTATATTCCTAATACAGTTTGATTGCACGGTGGCAGGTTCGCTTGAATTAAACTGCACCGTGTTTTAAGTAAAAGCAGAGACTTCTACATGACACTTCTTTTGCAATAAGATTATACAGCTTCGTAATGTTTTAATATACAAAGACATTATTAGCAAACATTTACAAATCTTTTATAAAAGAAGTTAACGCATACATTATCGACCCTAAATTAGCATACAGAATAGTGCCTGTACAAATTCATGCACTTTTATTTTCAGATGAAAAATTATTCAACGATGCAAGGCTGTACAAAATAAAGTCACTGCCCCGTGGATATCCGGATAATTCTATCCAACCCACGGACACCAATCTCCTACTCGCATATTGATGACCATATCAAACATTGAAGATTGGAGCAGCACAACTACAAGCACAAAATACACAGATACATACACATACACACACAATGACATACATATCTACCCCCTACACAAACAAAAACTGCTATGGCAAACATCGGATTTTTGCACATTCTTGACCATGCACCGTTATGTCAAAATGATCATGCCTGTAAAGGCATGCCTCACATTGTTAAGAATAAAAGATTTATTTATTTATTTATTTATTTATGTACAAGTTAGTGAAGATATTCATCTGCTACCTCAAATTTCTACTGCATAGCTGCAGCTTGACGAGTGTTATTCCACGTTAATCGATCAAAAGCTCCGTTAACTTCCTACAATGTTCTATTACGAAATTTTACTCGAGCCGTTCCCCCAAGCCTTATATGGCTGATAGTTTCTGCAAAAAGGATATATATGCCCATTTTCAGTTGGTATTAAACCCGGGTGTCCAAAGGTTATGCGAGGGGAGCCACCTTTTAAATACAAGCTTACAATGCCAAATTTAGCCTGGCATTGACGTAGAATGGTAAATGATTTATCATGCACTTTTTATTAAATTTTTACTTGTAGTGCATAACTGAGAGCTGGAGGTATTTTAAGTATTGTGTTAGTACGGACCCTTTAGTGCAAGTACCAGATTGCCTTTTTCTAGCCCGTATTCATTCCTTCCATCGGACTGCTAACTCTCAGTACCGTGCCCTGACCGAGTCTCATCTGACCAGTCTATTTTTCTTCTGGCTACCTTCAAAACTACGAAGATAAAAACAGGCTAGGCTCTGTCGACTCAATGCTATGTTCCCCTCACCTCAGGTGCCTGCAAGATATGCTCAATCTTTATTATCTTACTAACTCCGTGAGCATCCTTGACTCATTCACCCTTTATAATATGGCTCTCTTCTCATCTCTATTATACGTCCTAATCCTAACACGCCGACTATTCCAGGCTTGTTAGATCGGCTTCTTGTTCTCCGGATTCATTCAGACTTCTGAGACGTTGCCACTTCTGGTTCGGTTGACCTAATTGACTGTACAAATGCCTTCGGAGGCCTCGTTAAATTTTACACCCTTTAACAATAAAACCGTCCTCACCCTTACCCGAGACGTTATTACTCTAGGCTCTACATTACAAACACTTTGTTCCCCTCGTCCCGAGACTTTCCCTGTCATGCTATCTGGCTTTTCATATGGACGCTGCCATCCCTAAAGCTTTTTATCTTATGACACACATTACTGCATATTACTACATATTTCACTCTTTGAGCTGATATTCTAATCTCGTATCAGTGGTCTCTGCTTCCTACTACTGTGACCCTAATGATTAGGGATGGGCAGACATATCGGTCTGCTCACATCTCCCTGAAAACATCGTTGGCTTTTCCACTTCACCTCAATAGAGCGCCTCCCTGTTCGCCTCTGCATTACTTTTTCAATTGGACGGATATCCCTTCGGACCTGGCTCTAATCTACCCTCGGCTGACCAGCCCCCGTTTCTGACTGCTTCCCGACTTCCGAGCCATTATTACTCTAGCTCTGCGTTCCAAAATCTCTGTTCCCCCAATCCCCTGAAGTCCTACCCGAACGGCCTCCTGCTCTCCGGATTTATCCAGACTTCTGAGACGTAATCTCTCTTAGTTCGGTTGACTCAACTACCTGATTACATTACCTGGAGAGCATCGTGGGTTTTTCCCATCTTTTGTCAAAAAACATTTCCCATCCTGACCCCAACTCTTATTATCGCGCTGTGCTTTAATTTCTTCAATTGGAGTGCACGATCTTACTGCTCTGTGGTGATTTAGTCCCACTGACTTGCCTCTTTCTCTTTTATGCTCCAATGCTACTCTGACTTAAGTGGTATGCGCTATGCAGACTTAGCGCTCTTGTCCCCTACCCGGAGATTCTGCTTGACTCGCTCAACCTCTATTGTTGCGGACCTTTTCCTGCCTTTAATTTTACGTGCTATTCCTACGCGCCGACTAATCTAGTCTCGCTAGATCAGCCACTTGTTTCCACTTTTACTTAGAGTTATTCCACGTTACAAACCTTGGTTCGGCTGACTCGACGTCTTGCTCACATCACCTGGAAAGCCTCGTGGGATCCCTCACTACTTATCAGTAAACCTTTTCATACCGACCCTAACCTTTTCTCATCTCGCTTTCTGTTTTCATTCCCCTTTTTAATCGGACGACCAGCTTTACTGCCATGCCGTGATCCTGTCTCACTGGACTAGTCTGTTTATCTCTGACTGCTCCCATGCTGCCGAGCCTTGAACGGTATTGGCTCCGCTGAGTCAACTCTACTACCCCTACTCTGAGGGACTTATAGACTGGTACCCTCATTATTGTTATAGCCTCTTTCTTATCTGTATTTACGACCTAGTCCCAAAGCGCCGATTAATCCAATACCGCTTAGTCGGCCTCGTATTCACTGAATTCATTTGGACTTCTGAGACATCACTTCTATTGGTTTGGCTGACCTAATGGTGCTGTTTACACTACTTGGAGAGCCTCGTGGGCTTTTCCACTCTTTACCAATAAACCCTTCTCACCTCGACCCTAACCTTTTCTTCTCTCGCTTTCTGTTTTCAATCCCTTTCTTATCGGACGTCCGGCTTTACTGCATTGCCGTGATATTGGCTCACTTGCCTAGTCTGTTTCCCTCAGTCTGCTACTATGCTATTAAGACCTACGCGGTATGCGCCCCGTAGTCTTAACATGATGTTTCCCTTAAATTTAGAGCCTGCTTGACTTGCTCACCATTTACTGCTGGCTCCTTTCTTACCTTTACTACATGTCCTTATCCACACGCGCCGACTAATCAAGTCCTACCCGATCGGCCTCCTGCTCTCCGGATTTATTCAGACTTCTGAGACGTCACCTCTCTTGGCTCGTCTGACTCTACTATCCCTTTACATTACCTAGAGAGCCTATTGGACTTCTCTTACCCATCGTGAATAAACCCTTCTCATCCTGTCGCTAACTTATGTTTTATCGCGCTCTGTTCTCAATTGTTCTTCAACTGGCGGTGTGGTGATCTAGTCCACCGATCAGTTTCCTTCTCTCTGATTGCTGATATGCTACTCTGACTTAAGTGGTATACGCTATACAGACTCAACGCTCTTGATCCCTTACTACGTGAGGCTGCTAGACTCGTTCACCTTCTGTTACAGCCTCTTTTCCTGCCTTTAATTTTACGTGCTATTCCTACGCGCCGACTAATCTAGTCTCGCTAGATCAGCCACTTGTTTCCACTTTTACTTAGAGTTATTCCACGTTACAAACCTTGGTTCGGCTGACTCGACGTCTTGCTCACATCACCTGGAAAGCCTCGTTGGCTCCCTCACTCCTTATCAGTAAACCTTTTCATACCGACCCTAACCTTTTCTTCTCTCGCTTTCTGTTTTCAATCCTTTTTTAATCGTAAGTCTGGCTTTACCGCATTGCCCTGATCCTGGATCACCTGCCTGGTCTGTTTCCCCCAGTCTGCTACTATGCTACTAAGACTACGCGGTATGCGCCCCGTAGTCTTAACATGATGTTTCCCTTAAATTTAGCGCCTGCTTGACTTGCCCACCATCTAATGCTGGCCCCTTTCTTACCTTTACCACATGTCTTTATCCAAACGCGGCGACTAATCAAGTCTTACTCGATCGGCCTCTTGCTCTCCGGATTCATTCAGACTTCTGAGAGGTCGCCTCTCTTTGTTCGTCTGACTCCACTATCCCTTTACATTACCTAGAGAGCCTCGTGAACTTCTCCCACCCATCGTCAATAAACCTTTCCCATTCTGACCCAAACCCTTATTATCGCGCTCTGATTTCATTTCTTTAATTGGATTGCACGATCTTACTGCTCTGAGGGGATCTAGTCACACTGATTTGCCTCTTTCTCTTTTATGCTCC